CTGGTGTGCGCAGTGTATCTAATACATGTAGAGTGCACAGGGTATTTAATACTCACTGTACTCTGCTCATCTAATCTAACACAACTGGTGTGCGCAGTGTATCTAATACACGTAGAGTGCACAGGGTATTCAATACTCACTGTACCCTGCTTATCCAACATATCAAATACACCGTGYATCATATACTAAAAATATACCCTGTGCATCTAACACACCTGGTGTGCGCAGCCTATCTAATACATGTAGAATGCACAGGATGTTTAATACTCACTGTACCCTGCTCATCTAAAACAGCAAATACATTTATGCATCTTATACTAACAACATACCCTGTACATCTAACACACCTGGTGTGCGCAGCGTATCTAATACATGTAGAGTGCACAGGGTATTCAATACTCACTGTACCCTAGGCCTGCTCATCTAAAATATAAAATACATTGTGCATCATATACTAACAATATACGTACCTTAGATTTAGATTGGAGAATTTAGTTAAGAGCAACAAAATAATTGGCCCAGGAAACTGTCCAATTACAGGTGTCCAACTACCAAATTGTTTAGTAGAAATAGAGTAGTTCCTTAACCAATCAGATTTGAGGAAATTATAATAGTTATGATTATTTACCAGTTATATCGAGCAGTATCCACGAGTTCACCCAGTTTGATTTGTTACTCTTGCAGTTGTCAGTGGTGGAGTGGTTGATATAAATAGTATGATATCTGTTCGTTGTCGTTGGTGGTAGTAGAGGTAACATGGTAGGAGTAATTTTGGTATTAGTGTCTGTTATTTCTCGCTGTTATTGTTGGTATTCGTGGTATAATATTGCGCTATGATGCTTGATCTTTCACAACCGAACCCTTAATTTGAAAACCATAGAAAAAACTAGAAAAAAATTGTCTTTGTTCAATATAGATATTCTATAAATGATTTATCCATAAAAACTGAATTTAAAAAATCTACTGAATGCATCCTGGCAATTCCAAGTCAATTTAAATTCACAATTTCTAAATCTACAATTATAAATCCCTATTCTCTTATCTTGCAGTGCTAGGCTAGGTCTCTACAGACTTGCGCGCTGTTGGTTTGGGTCTGTTTTGCCTAGTGTTTTTCTTTGAGGCGCGATCTTTCGGGAACCGCGTCATCATGAGATTTTTTTCTATCTTTGTTGGGTTTGGGGCCTTTGGATTCGGGTCTCCAGATACCAACACGAATCGACTGAAAGAAAAATACAAGGAGAATTAAGAAAACTCAGTATTTTGAAAACATAAGGGAATATTAAACGAAAATGACAGATAAGATAACATTGTGTTTGTCWAACTATATATGATATATCCTGTTACAAAAACAACACAATACTAAAGGGTTTAAAATTGAAATCATCGCTCACTACTACACTTATTTAAGTCAGTCGAGTATCTCTTTTTGTTGAGCAATAAATATGTAAGCTTTCGAGCCTTTCCTGCATTTATATTTTCATGTTCAGAATCCTTTTCCTCCCTCCATCAAAATACTGCCAATCAAAGTGCAAGAAAGCCGTTGTATATTCAGTGATATTCAACTGCTCCTTCTCATGATCATGCATTGCGGTGGCATGCAACATTAATCAGAGTCTTTACCATTTTTTWAAAATAGTTGAATTTTACCTGCATTTATTAGGTATAGATGCAGCCGTCTTGGGTCTTGGCATAACCCTAGCGATGTCCTCCACGTTATGATYATTTGCTATAACAGCCATTATTGATCGCGCAGGGCGTGTCAGGCTTGCACTACCGTGACGTGGCTGGATACGAAGACGAAATGGCTGATCTGACGACAGTTCCTGCTCCTTGAGTTGTTTCATTGTATCTTGGAATGTCGGTTTTACCTCAGGGTTTAAGATGAGTTCAGACGACGTGAGGAACTCAACTGAACGCTCGGGTTTGTCGGTTTCCGCTGAAAAAGTATAACAATTGAGATGTAAAAATCATGATGCAATGGTGGTGGTAGCGGAGGTGGCAGGGTGGTGGTGGTGGTAGTATCGGTGGTGGTAGTGGTGGTGGTGGTAGTATCGGTGGTGGTGTTGGTGATGGTGGTGGTGATATTGGAGGTGGTAGTGGAGGTGGTGTGGGTGGTGGTGGTGGTGGTAGTACAGATGGTGGTGGTGGTGGTGGTGGTGATGGAGCTGGTGGTGTTGGCGGTGGTGGTAGAGGTGGTGATGGTGATGGTGTACTTGGTAGCGATGACGATGATGATGATATGTATGTTTATATATAATAACGCTACGTGGTGATAATGGTGATAATGATAAGATGTATATGGTAGTAATGAAAGTTGTTAATACGATGAGGATGACGATGCTGGACCGGTGGTACGTGGTGATGATAAAGATACCAAGTGATGACTGATAGCGATGAATGACGATCATTTATCATTTATCTTATTATCTTATTATTTATCTTATTATTTATCTTATTATTTATCTTGGTATCTTATAAGATGATCCTGATAACAAACGATGATGACGATAAGGATGTTGTTGTTGKTGGTGGTGGTGGGGGCGACCACTGACGATGATGATGACGCGCTCAGTGTAAGATGATGTTATGATGAAGGTAACGACATTGTTGCCGATGACATCAAGACATTAGAGACCTTAATCACGACGTTCTTGCTTGGTACCGCAAACCTCAAACTGCAGTTCGATGTCAGTCGTTTTCCGTCAAACGTTCGACATTAAGCAAGGCGCCATAACGAAGTTGTTGCTAGAGTGTTTCTCCATGTTTGCGGGCGTGTTTCTGGGCCTGACCCCTAGAAGTTAGCGATAAACCTGATGCTAAAGGTCTTTAATAAAGTGTAGCGTCAGCAGCACATGTTCATCGCATATCGCATTTGGGAGAAATTCCCTACCTTTTGTACAATCAAAGTGATTGGTCTTTTTCCATCTTTCTTTCAGTTGGTTCTGTTGAGTCGTTCGTCGTTCTTTCGCGCTCTTTTGTCGTTCAAGGCGTTGCTGTTTGAGGAGTCTCGCTCTGATCAATAAGCACAAGGGAATCAATAAAGATCACTACAAATATGAAGCAGGGGTATGAACAAGAAAGACTATGCAAGTACTAACAGAATCACCTTAATTGTAAACTGAATAACGCTTTCCATCTTAAAAACATTTTACTTTGAAGTCATTACCCTCTAGCGTATTTCATTATGTTTCTCTTGAGAATATCAGACAACCAATACGCAGAATGGTGTAGTAAAAACCTCTCAATGCGACAGAGGACGATTGTAAGCGCACAAATTAGAATGCACCTAGTTGTCTTAATGTTTAGTGCACAATTTTGTACCAGAAATTCGTCGAGCAAGCGCAGTACAAAAATAAAGAGATATAACTAGCTAAAAACTAGTGTGAGCTGCGTCGGTGTTTCTAATGAAACAGTAATGATGAAAAGGTAAATTATACACCGTGAAAAGATGAAAAAACTTACTTACCTTTTCATCATTACTGTTACAAAAATAAAGGCTACTCTCGGTGCGTGATTAAGTTTAACAAAAATCTCGACATGTTAAACGAGAAGTGAACGAAAGATTAACAGAATGCATATGATGATTGATGGATTACCTTGCGAGTACAATCTCCTGCCAGTTACCAGAGTAATCGTCCACATCTAGAGATGGAAAGTCAAGCGACGAAGCGGGCCTGGAAAAGAAAGCCACAAAATAGAATGTCAAATAATAGACAATCGGATTCAGATGAAAAATATCTGAAAACGCGGACACGAATTAGCTGAAAGTACCTATTTTCAGAATTGTTTCGCGCGTTTCAGCACTTGAATCACGTGTACTATCCCGAATCTAGTATATTTTGATTACTACACTACTACCTGTAATATTACGTCTACAATAAATATTAATATTAAGATAAATAGAGGCATTAATATTCAGATTAGGAATTGATTACTATAACTCTAACAAAACCCTAACTCTAGCTTTAAACCCTAACCCTAACCTTGAATATAAAGATTAGGATTAGTATTACTTTTTTAAAAATTAATATTAAATTAATATTAATTTAAAAATTAATATTAACATTAAGATGTTGTTTTAGCCCACGTGTAGTAGGGAAAAACAAACCAAAATAGTAGAGCCTTTGGTTACACCTTTTGTAGGTGTCTAAAAATGACATTCCTCTCAATAGTGTGTACGTACGTCTACATAAACAATCAGTAGAACTCTACACCTTCCTCTCTCCCTCCTCGCACATGCCAGACCTTATTCAGCGTTACCTGTCATCTAAAGATTGAAATCTATAGAAATCTGTATAAAATCCATCAGCATCCCTCGTAAGCTCCAAGCTATCATCCTTAGCTTCCTGTTTTATTTCTTTAAGATATATTGAAAATCAATGGTTGGTCAATACACATAATAATAGGTTTCTTTTGTCCCTACATCAATCAATGAATTCATCCACCCATCCACATAACTAACCAATCCATCCATCCATCCATCCATCCA